AAGTCTTCGTTAATATGCAGTTACATATTTGCGGATCATCAGATACATATTATCATGGGTCAAGTAATGATGTTTGTCGCGAAATAGCAGATGCTATAATGATAACATCTCTACGAGAATACTCCAAACAAAACTATAGTGATAATAGTAGTTGAAAGGAGAAATGATATAAAAATTGAGGATGAGAAGGGAAAGAAAGATACCAAACTAATCAAATGTCAAAAATTAAAAATACATTAAGACAACATGCCAACACAGCAGCAGTCATCATCCAATTAAACGAAAATTGTAAACCAGGTATGGATTATGCTTGAATTCAAGAAGCATATCAACTAGTAAAATAAGTTACGCTCCAATCAAAAACACAGCATATCTATAAATATTATATGATCTGCCCAAGTATCTTTTCAGTATATATTACACACATCGTAGCATTACACGAATAGTCCTGTCTGGGAAATGGGAAACTGGGGCAAAACAAGCAGAAGAGTTCCAAGTTGTGCCGTCTACAACGGTAATCAATCTTCCTAGAGAACTGAATAACCCACAAAAAAGAATAATGGAAGTCTGAAACCAGTTCTCATAAACGATTTTAGGCGGGAATGTTCTTCCAAAATCTTTATTTTTTTGTTCAGAAAATTTCACACTGTTCATTTTCAATTTTAAATTCAGCTCCCTTCTTTATTTACCTCACATGAATATTACCATTAACAATTACTTAATCTTTTTCTAAATTAGTTTTTTTTTTCTTTAACTGTGAAATTCAAGAAATAAGTTTGTTTTATTTCGCAGAAGTTAACTAAGTATGCATATAGCATGATCAACATATCCCTAACAATAATAAAGTTTTTTGTTTGTTGTCCAAAACTTTGCAATAATTGAAATCCAAAATCCTTTTTTTTTCTCCCCCTCTCTCGCTCTCTCTTTCTTTCGCCCTGTAGAAAGAGGAAATACTTCAAGGTGCGCAGAAAAAATAAAAAACTTTTTCTGCAACTTTCCCCAAAAGTTTCAAGGCCACACAAAATAATTTCAAAAAAAGAATGTAAATAAAAAAACAAAATTTCCCGTAATTAATTGTTAACTCTCACGATCTCTTTCCCCCTCTTATTGAACAAGGCAAATATATCAAATGCACTTTTGTTTTTCGTGTAACTAAACATTTCAAATGAAACATTGAAGGGAGCATGTAATAATACATTAGCTAACCAATGGAATTATCAAAAAAAAAAATTTTTTTTCTTTTCAAAACTATTAAAATAACGCATAAATCCATCCATCCATCCATCTCTACCTATCCCTTCGTTCTTCCATTATCAATAAATGATAAGCAAGAATGGCACATAAAGCAACTAAAACAATTAACTGACATTAATAAAATAAACGCTAAATGCTGAGCAGGAATATCGTGATGCTAAGCCTCCGTTGACAATAAACATTCATTCCTATTTGCATAAAATACACACATACATATACAGCATGCTTCTTAGTTCCTGCTTTCGTGTTTTTAAAATTTTAACCCCTCTTCTCCATTCTTCCCACCGAAAAAAAAAAAATGAAAAGAGGAAACGAAATTAGGAATAATGCATCGTCTAAGCCTAAGCTACTCTACTCCATCACCCTTACTTCTTCCAATATGGAACAAAATTAACAATGCAAATTGACAAAGATTAAAGATTGTCAAGGGCGTCTTTACATATCTCACTGCTAAAGACCAAAGGTTGCGAAAACCACTGAAGTCTTATGAAGGCAGACCTTCACAAATGATAATAGCATAGCTGAATATTAAAATTAATAATCTGTACTGAAAGAAGGTATATTTTATTTATCCCAGATCAAAAACTAACTCTTCAATTTAAATCTATTTTATGTTGGCAAGGAAAAAAAAAAGTCACTGCAATAATCTGGAACAAATATGTTAATAAATTTGAAAGGCTTAAAAAAATATAATCAATATCATCTAATGATTGTATATAGCACATTGATAGTGCATAAAATATAAGCAATTTTCATGAAATTTCACTTTACTAGCTAAATTCATAAAACATGGGTTAAATAAGCCAACTAACAAATCAATTGCTGCGTCTCATTCTCTTAAGTTTAAAATACAAACTATAATACCTAACTATAACTCGGTCATCTCTCCTCTTTCCACTGATATCCTCATCATATTGTTTGATGCAAAAATTGTGCTAAGCAAACATTCACCACCAGTAGATTGATTTTTTCACTTTTCATACTTCTTTTATCATCCTCTATTAATATTTCATTATGTTATCCCGAAATATTTCCTCAAACTATAATTTTTTGCGAAAAAAAAAAATTAAAAATAAATAATCTTTTCTTTTTCACTCTTTCTTCGCACAGCTTTTAAATTAATCAATAGCAAAATGTAAAAAAAGAGGAAGAGAAGGGAACAAATTGATAATTTAAATTCAAATTTATCACATTATTATCAATCAATTATGAAAATAAAAATCACACAATTGATTTAAGTGCAATAAAGACAATGTGACTTGAAAAGTTGTATTCTACGATCCATATAATGTTTAGCAAAATCTACAAACACACACACTTATTACTTCAACAAAAAAAAAGAAAAAGAAAAAAATAAATTATCATTTTAATGTCAATTAATCTTAACTTGATATCGTATTGCATTGAATTAAATTTTTTTCACAATCTTTTACATCCTATTTCATTTCCTTCAAAAATATCTCTTATCTCAATTAACATTCCAATATATAACTCAGTTAAATAAGTAATCAAAGAGATTAACCGCATTCCATCTTTCTCTCTCTCTCTCTCTCTCTCTCTCTTTCTCAAGTAAATTGGCAAATGAAATTGCCATAAAATTCACATTTTCAACCATTTATTGAAGTGCAATTGCTTGCGAAATTTTCGTTTTAGTAGCAAATGAAAAGTTCATCATGTCAGAGAGAGAGGGAAAGAAAGAAAGAAAGAGAAATGAAATAGTGATGGAATATAGTATTTTAAAGATGAAAATCCAAATTATCAAATATATTTTATAAACAATACACTTCTATTATTTATATTATAGTTATCAATTACTAAACAAATAAATATTTAACAAATTTAGCCAAAGAACAACCACTTATAGAATAATAAGATCGGTGCGTGCGTGTGTGTGTGTATGTGTGTGTGTGAATAAGTATATATATATATACATATATATATATCTGTAGTAATTTAGGAAAATTAATCAATACTAAATTACACAAACAAAACATGCGTAGAGAGAAAACAAAA